TGGACGCATCAAGACACCAGTTTCAAACATAACATCCATTACACTGGCTATTGGAATACTCCTGCAAGTTGTGCTCACTGTGCAATGAGTTTGAGTACAATAGAGATGCTAGGCCATATACCAAACACATGGGACATTGGAAGGAACACATAAAAAGCTACAGGACAAAAGAATAACCTTTGGTTCGCTCTCAGGACTTCGGAAAAGGGATACATCTAAGGAAGGTATTAACTTACCTTATTGGGTAACTGTGGGAATTCTCTGGGCATTTGCAGGCATTTCTTGAGGTCGGAGACAGCTAAACACTGTAGGAAGGGTCTAGGCATCATCCAGAATGGCCAGAGCGGCCTTGGGCGCTGTTTCTGACTCTCAATGACTCATAGTTGCCATGGGAATTTCCGACAGCACAGGATACAATTGAAAAGGCTGTGTTATTCCTTGGGGAATAACTCGATTTTGGGTAGGAATCACTCGGAGCTATTCTGGGACCGACTAGACTGACTAATTGGCTCGGCCTGGACGGTCTCACACGGAGAAATTGCTGCGGAACAGCGGAGTTTTGACTAATTCTTTATTACATAGTGTACAGTATATAAACCTGCATGTAAATTAAATTAAGACAGTGAACCCCACTCCACTGTTGGCATTTATAAGACCTCTCAGGCACAGCTATAGCCTGACGTCTTTATTTTGAGCTTAACTGGTCGATAGGACTTTGTCTTTTGGCTATAAAAGATCAGTTTAAGTCTCTTGTGGCGGCCTTGTGCCAAATCTAAGTCCAACCAGTGTTCTAGTGGGTAGTACCTAGGTTAATCAAATAAAATTGGTTTATCATTGCACTATATTGTGTGAATTGGCAAGGGTTCTGAGTTCTTTGAGATTGAAGGACGATACGCCTGTCCTACCTCCCCGAACACACACATACGGCATTAGAGTTGTTAGTGGTTGGATTGATATATATTGGAGTGTAGACTTTGTCTAACTCTTTTGCATTCGATTTCACTGCTGCACTTTGGTGCATCGTTTCAACGGATGAGATTGGCGGTTTATGCGAGCATGCGGCGTCCCGGCTGAAAACCTTCAAAATGGGTGATGATCTGACATGCGCGGAAGAAGCGGTGAAAGCGGTTCGGGCCGGGGACATTCACGTTGGAAAGGAATTCAGTGTGGCGGCCTTTGCTAGGCACGCACCGGATGATTATGGTGCGAAGCCGGTCCTATTGATGCCCACCTGCAAGAAAGGCTCTTGGCAATCGTCGGCCGAGATATTGCAGAAGCTTATACAGGCCTGGAAGCTATCTCCCTTCGGAGAAGCTAAACACGGCCCACTGAAAGAGATAGCATCTGACGGCGATGGAAGACGGCGAGCTGCAATGTATCTGGTTTGTATGCATAAGCATCTGGGGCCCGACGACCCCATATACCAGTTTCTCTCGAATCTGCCGGGACTAAATTTGTACACTGGGGAAGACGGCATAACAATGTGTTTTGACCCCAAGCATCTGTTCAAACGTATGTTACTCATTCAGATATTGAAACTTACTCGGAACTAACAATATTAAAGGACTTTGCACACTCCTATGCTCACTCAAAGTCATTCTTGTTAACGGAGTTGTAATCAATAAAACTCTCAGCGCTCAATGGCTGAAAAAAATCCCCGGGCACAATTGGGCAGACGAGAGCATACATGCTCTTTTGAATCCAAAGGATCCCCAAGACGTTGGGCGGGCTATCAAGCTTCTCTGTCTCATAGCGGAGCTTTGTGATCTTAATACCTCAGACTTCACCCCAACCGAGAAAAACACCCACCGCGCTCTTACTCTCCTTGGAGAGATGTTTGATGCTCTTGTGGATCCATTCATTGATCCGACACTTTCCCTCTCAGAACAGTTGATCCAGCTTGTTAAATTTGCGCAAATGTCCTGCGCCCTCTTCATCAAGCACGATGGGGACTTTTTCTCACACCAGCTCTACGGCGATCTCCAATGCATGATCAAAAGTTTTATATTTAAAATTGCGCACTCCAAGGTTTTAAACCCATCGCTCAAAGTCTTCCTTTGCCTCTTGGGAGACGACCCGCTGGAGGTACTGTTTGGAAGGTCGAGAATGAAGGGGGGACACTCACCAAATCACGCCGTCGATGAATTACGCCAACGTTTTTTATCCGCGCTTTGGATGGACAAAATTTTCAGGAAATACCCTTGGCTAGAGCGCCGCGCCCGACGTCTTCGGCTGATCCGCAACCGGGATGTAGACCACCTTTCTCCCCGCAATTGGAAAGCCGACCTTGCCAGTGGGTCGTGCAATATTCGTGGTTGTTACTTCACCGGTATCCGACTCGCCAAGGACATCCTTGCCAAATTTGGATGCGACATTGATTTCACCGCTCGCTTTGCGCCAGAGGGCTGGGATTTAATGCGACCCAACGGCGGAAAATACTCCGGCCTTTCCAAAGAGGTTGACAGGTCACTCGCAGACGTGTCAGGGAGCACCGATAATCCTGTGGCTCCCGAAATTCTAGCCTTTGATGCCCGGAAGGCGGTTGCAGAAGAGAAGGCCAAAGCAGATGCCGATGCAGATGCCGAGGGTCATAGCATTTGGATCAATCTGACTGAAGACGGAAGCAAGAAAGCACATAAAAAAGCCATCCTCCGCGAGTTCATGGATCCAACGGTTGATATCAATGATGGAAAGAGTAAGGACCGGCTACTCCGTGTTCGCTATCATTCTATTGACGGAGACAGCTGGGATCGAACAGCATCTACAGCTTATTCGAAATCTACAGCCAACGATCATCTACTCAAGATTCAAGGTCTCTTTGCGACCTTGATCTGTTTCAACACATCCAAGGTGTCATTAGCCATCCTTCAGTGCACCGGTATCAAAATCATCAATACCCATCCTATCACATATCTTGAGGCGGCACCTACAGCCGAGATTTCCCTCCCAGAAAGCCCGTATGAAATATCGGGACAGATCTTATCCCTCACCCCATTCCAAAACTCCGGAAATATTTCTTGGGCCTGGGTTGCAGAATTTGTTGCTTTCGAGTCTGCTAAATCCAAACAGGCGAGCACAGCTGATGCACCCTCGCGTATGCGTCATTTGAGTGTAACTCTGGACGGGCGCCTTGTTCTGCCTTTGACATCGGCAGATCTCAAGCAGGTTACGTTAGAGGAAATTTTGAATATTCCTCGGAGCGCAGATACGGAGTCCGAGAAGACATGGGTATTTCTAACTCAAAGCTGGAAGCTATGGGTACTGTGCTTCTTGAGAGGATGAAGGAAGAGGAAGTCCGATTGAAAATCCCGGTGTATGGCACTGTCAAGGAGGGCAGATATCCGTATGAAGCTGCTATCGAGGACGGCAAGTTGTCCACATCGTATTCAAATGGCCCTCAGCTTACATCTAATTTGTAGCTATAACAAATGTCACACAGTCAATCTCGCATTCATTTGGTTCTGTCGCAGCGCCGGCAGCGCAAGACGGCCGTCAACCATGCCGCATCTGCCAAAAAAGTGTTGCTGGCCCTGATCGTCAGAATCACATGGGAAAGCACATTCTGCTTTCCCAACGGGAGGTAGCTGAAGCAAATATTGTGGCCGAGGTATACCCCAATTTTATCAATCAATTGTGCACTCAAACATTTGTAGGTTGACAAGAATTACCCTTGCGGTTTTTGTGGAAAGAATATGTTGAACAATGGTTGTACCATCAACATCCTTAGTGGCAAGGCCATCTCTTCGTGCTCAGAGAAGTATCAATTTCAGGTCAAGGCTGCCCTCAAGTCCAGCGGTACGAAACCATGTACAAATGCACCTCTGAAGTGCAGTCTGTGCCCGGAAACGCACTGGAAGTACAATATGGCCGAGCTTATGCGAGACCGGCATCCCACATGGGAGATTACCATGCCGCAGCACACCCGGACCGTGCTTTCTTCGGCGATCGCAGTTTCACACGACGAGGAACGCCGGTTGGGGGTACCAGAAGCAGCTCAGAAAGCACAAGTTGCACAGCCAGCGCCCGAGTCTCAAGGGGAAGTCATAGGCCAGAAGCGTGCGCTGGACGATCTCACGGTGACTCCGAGCCGCACACGAGCCATCAAAACAGCCCGGCCCTCGCGAAGGACCCCGGAATATACCCCGGGAGGCCAGGTCCGGCGCCGGACAAAAATTCCACGATTTGGCCTCAAACCTAGGCCCAGGACGGACAAAATCTCGAGGTCGAACGCAGAAATGCTAGGTCCCGTCCGGACAAAATTTGAGATCTGGCTGGGGTTTGGTGCAACATTTTTTGGCGAAACTCACCTACTTTGACTTGCTTCGGTGCGAAAACTCGCTTCATCGCTCCAGTTTGACGAAAATGAGGTCAAAAGCAAGGCAGGAAGAAAAAAACAGCATTTTCTTGGTCGTGGGAGCTAAAATTACCATTTTGGGGTGATCCCATCAGCACTCGGCTAGGTCCAGGACGGACAAAAATGCCCAGATCTCGCTGAAACCTGTCCGGACAAAAATTCTAGGATCGTGGATTTTTGGAACCTAGCCTTCGCCAATACATTCCGGGGTCCTCCTCGCGACCAGCAGCGCCCGACAGCCAAAAGCCCGATGTGGATGAGTCTTCATTTAATATTGATGTCTTCACTTAGATATAGCCCAAATGGGAAGATAGAAGCAGTTGTATTCCAGCCTTAGTGCACGAAACACATAGCGAGCGTTGAGCAGTTCGTGAAATGTGTCAAAAATGGTACGAGGCGTATTCTTCTCAAACAGGAAGTGGCTGTGTTGCCGCGCGATCCGGGATCAATCAGCTGTCTCGCTTATTTAACATCAAATTGAACGATCCAGATCTCGCTCACCTCTTGCCAACCCCGATCGTTGCAGGTTAAGCACGTGCACACTGTGTGCCGGATGGCTTTGTTGCAGTGAATCCATTCCTAAATAAATGAGCTTCAAACTGGGCAAACAAATGAGTTGTGATAAAGCTAGGACCCGCCCTTCCAGCAGCCTGACCCGGAATCGAACCGAGACCTTCTGTATATGTAGACAAAATCACCTATTTGCTAAGTCCTGCAGACGCACACCTTGTGCCACCAGGCCCGTCCTTCGTAGCAGCTCACCTTGCCCGAAGTGACAGCAGTAGTGCGCAAAAGTTCAAGTTGAGTGAGCCTAGCCGAATTGATCCGGCGGCGAATTTGTCCTTGCTGTCGCGCCACTTCACCGTCGTCGCCGCCCTAGCGCACTCGCTGATCCCACCGACACATTTCGTGCGAGTGCGCCTGGCCCACTGTCAAGCCCGCCAGTCGGCTTTCCTCAATACTCAAGGCCCCTCGCCTTTGTCATCGTCAACCTTTTCCATTTTGCATTCCAAGCCCCGCGTGCCGTGGTGTTGGCTCGCGGTGAGTCCGACGTGCCAATGAATGTGGGGCAGCTACATGTGTCCGCCGTCGAGCGCGCAATCGGCTTCCTCATTCACGAGGCGAGTGGCGCTATTCATTCTCTGCTTTTAGCCTCACCACGGGCTGTAACTTTCGCCGCTATGGTGCATCCTCGCCGTCACATGTACGCCCGATTTCGGAGTCAAGTCGCCGTTTCCATCCTCATATGCATCTTGGCTGCCTGCCTCTTCGTGTCATCTCCTTCCTTCCTGCCGCCCATCGTTTTGCGCGCCATCTGCTGGACTCGGTACAGGTCCCTCTGCTTGCGCGTCCCCATACTGTCCGTCGTCTCTCATGCTCCGCCTGCGTATCCCGGCCGCCCTTGCAGCCCGTCTGGTCTACCTACTCCCGGCGCGCATCTTAGCATGGCATTGCGGGGGGCATTGAATATCGTGCCGTTGTCGTGCCTCCGCGCCTGCCTCTGCCCCTGTGTTGCCTGCTTTGCGTATGCTATTTAGCATCCCTGTCTGCGCGCCCGCTCCCGTCCGTATCTGTGCCTGCCTCCGCGCGCTTCGCCTTACCACCAGCCCTTGCGCAGTGCATCGATCCTGCATCCCTTGCATCGTGTGGGATACATCTCGATTGCCAGCCGCACCCCGCCCCCCCCCCCATTCCGCCCCCGCACAGTCATCGTATGCGTCCTTAATTTCTCCGCCTCTCCCGTCTTGGACTCCCTGCATCCCCAGCGCTTCATCCATTGTGTCTCTTTTTCCTTCCGCTGTATCCTCGCGGTCCTTTTGCGGCCGCCTATTCCCTGTTTTCGCCATGATACTTTTCACGCACCTGTTTTTTCGATTGTCCAATACATTGGGTATTCCAATCTCCGACGCCCCGCCAAGGCCCTCCCCACTTTGCTGCGCATTTGCGTCGTGCATTTACGATATCTCCTTCTCTCCGAGCCTCCTGTTCCCCATCCGTCTTCCACATTTATCCTCTCTGAGTTCCGTGCAGCTGAGGTGACTTGCGACGCGGGAATTCCACCCGAGGCGAAGGACGCATAGTAGCAGATGCTTGATTGAGCCGGTGCACCTACCTATTTGTGTCCCAACTCTATACTCGCAAATTATTGTTACCCCTGTTTTGAGTGCTCTGATGTTCTGCCAACGATAATTCAATTCGGAGAACGTGGGGCCCTCCGATGCATCAATAAATGATTTTTAAGCCACTCAGAACCCCGTTGAGCCCTTACATTCTTGCACTACAGATGGTCTCCCTAAAACACACGAAACAATTCGTTATATTTATTGGAATGTATAAATAGAAATTCTCAGGAAGCCAGGCCCTCCGCAATTGCCGTGCGCAGCGACCCATATGTTTTTTTATAGTCACTAGCCAAGTACTGAGGCGAGAACAGCCGGATTCGTCGAAAACACGAAAATTTGACCAAAAAGGATTTTTTTTGAGCCGCGCCCTATGTTCCGCAAAGAGCTGTAAAATTTGATTAAGCGGTATCAATCCTGGTAACGGGCCGTGCCGCTCGTCGGCTTTACCCGCTTTATTGAATCATCACGCGCCTTCTATTGACCTATTTTCGTACTAAGTTCTCCCAGTCCCTACGTTCGAGGAACCCTGCACGCATTTTTTCCTGCCTCAATTTTCACTGTATTCACTTCAAATAAATTCCATTGTACTCTTAACTACTCTGTCTTGTTACTCAACGTAGGGACTGGCCACGAGTCTACTAGGAATGCAGTGAAGCGCCCGCTGTCAATGCCGCAAATCCTGTTCATGTCATCGCCGATTCTCGACGGATCGACTGAGTTGACGCGTCGCAGGACCTCCGGTGGGAATTTACGGAAGTCGGTCGGTCCCGTCACGGCAACGGGTGGAAACCTCTATTCGATCTTGCCCGATTATCCGAGCACTCTACGCAGCACGAAGTTACTGCGCATCTTGAATCTAGGAATGCAGTGAAGTGTCCGCTGCCGTTGTCGCAAATCCTGTTCATGTCATCGCCGATTCTCGACGGATCGACTGAGCTAACGCGTCGCAGGATCTGTGGATAAATAGGACGCGTACTTGGTGGTCTCGGTCAGAAATCACACATGGCTTTCTCTACAAGTTCTTTGAAGATTTTTGCGGTCATCGCGGTTTTTTCGAGTCTTCAAGCACTGGCCGACACCAACTTCCAGTGGAACAAGGTCGGTGAACTGTTTTGGCTCTTCAGTTCGTGCTGGAACACTTGAATCGGTATTTGTTATGTAGCTTGAAGCATCGGACAAACTTGTCTGGACGCCTTGTTATTCGCGGCTTCAGTGCAGTCTTTTGCAAGTTCCCTTGGACTACTCATCCGCCACGGCGGGCACGGTGTCCATTGCCATTGCTCGATACCCTGCTAATTGCACAAACTCGGAGTATCGCGGCCCAATCCTTTTGAATGATGGGGGTCCTGGGGGAAGCGGAGTCGATTATGTTGTCGAAGTGGGCGCGTCGATCGCAACCATTATCGGTGAACAATTCGATATCGTCGGATTCGATCCGCGAGGTGCATAATTTTGTCATTTATGCCGTCAATTGCTGACGCGAGTTCTAGGAGTAAGTTACTCGACGCCAACAGTTTCTTTCTTTAGGACTGCGGCCGAACGTGCTCTGTGGATGCCCGCAACATCGGATATAGTTTTCCCAGCGCTAAATCAAACAGCCGACGCGGTAGCTCAACAATGGGCGCGGGCCCAGATCCTGGGCCAGTTGGCCGTGAATCGGAATGACGGGAACTACATTCAACACATTACCACCGACAACACCGCCAGAGACATGCTCCGCATCACCGAGGCGTTTGGGTTCGAAAAGGTGCAATATTGGGGTGTCTCGTGAGCGACCAGACGCTGTTTGCAATTCTTCTTTCTCACCTACGATTGTATAGATATGGTTCGGTTCTAGGATCCACTTTCGCAGCAATGTTCCCGGTGAACTTTATTTAAAGTTATCACTTTCCAAGCACGACTAAGCTTTCCTCCAGGACAAGGTCGGCCGTGTTGTTGTTGATGGTAAGCTTCCTTCTTCTATTCACTGCTTGTCTGAATTCTCGTTTTAGGCGTCATGCCTATGAATACGTGGTACTCGGGTAAAACAAGCCGTCGTTTTTTCTTCCGCATCTGAGACCAGTCGTTCGCATAGCGAACTTGACACGCGAGGCGGCTGACACCGACAAAGCCCTACAAACGTTCTTCGATGGCTGCGCGGCGGCGGGACCGGAGGCCTGTGCATTCAGTGCCCCCTCCTCCATCGAAGTAGCTGCAAACCTCAATGCCCTCTTCGCCGCCATCGAGATCCAACCGGTTCCCGTCATTACACCCGTCTCTTACGGTGTCGTGGACTACACCTTCCTGCGGAACTCGGTTTTCCACGCTCTCTACAGCCCGTATGACTCGTTCGTCGCCCTGGCGCAGGGCCTCGCAGACTTGGCGATGGGCAACGCCACAACACTGTACACGGCGGAGGAGGTGCCCCCATTTGAGTGTGAATGTAACTCCACCACACCATTCCACGAGAATGGATACGAAGCTTTAGTCGCAATATCGTGCGGGGATATGGCAGTAGAGAGCGATACAGTCTCGCAGCTGCAGGCCTATTATGCCTCGATACAGGCGATCTCTAGCATCGCAGACATGTATGGTAATTGGCGCGTCATTTGCTCGTAAGCCTATTTTCATTCTACGATTGAATTATTGAAGCGAGCCGATTCGCAGGGGGTGGAAGTTGCATCGCGAGGATCGCTTCAATGGCATCACTTTCACACTTTTCTCGCGTCTTGAAAGCTTACGTATCCTCCAGGACCGTTTGGGGCCCCGAACACCAGCTTCCCTCTTCTCATTATCGGCAATACAGCAGACCCCGTCACTCCCATCGCAGGGTTAATTTTACCTTTAATTCCTCACAGCGCAACCAACACTGACCGCTCTCAGAGCTAAATCAACCTTAGACGCCTTCCCCGGTTCTGCCCTGCTGACTATTGACGCGCCCGGTGTATGTCGTCCCACTCTCCTTCGCAAGCTCAATTTGACACAAATCTACAGCACACATCCCTCGGCGCTCCTTCGACCTGCTTTTACGGATACCTGCGCCAGTACTTCCAGAATGGCACGCTGCCTCCGCAGAGTACTGTGTGCCAGCCAGACGGCGTGTTGTTTCCTCCGCCGGCCAATGCGACCACGGAAGGTGTAGCGCCACGAGGGCTAGATGCCTGGGAGGCAGAACTGATGGAAGCTAGTCGCACAATTGGGAAGGCTATGCGCCGCGCGATGGCCCGCAGGTTGAGCCTTGCTGTATAAAAAGCTATCTATGCCTTGAATACCACCATATAATATCGGCGGTAAACCAACGCCAACAAACTGCGAGACACAAATTACTCGTATTATAAGCAGATGGTTCGTATCAGATTGCACCTGTTTGCCGTGTTCCGGATCTTCCGACATGCCCCGTTTGCTATTTATTTCCCACTTTCCCACTCCACAGTTTGGAAACCAGTCACCTAAAACAACATCGCCGATCAACATTTAGCTTTCGCTGACAGTGCCTGGATTTTTCAGCAGGGCACATGTTCAACCGGACCTTTGAAAATTCAAAGATTATTGATCATCTGGGCGCCTCAGTTTATTTTCGACCTCCCCGATCAGCCGTTTCATGTCCGCTCAAAAGGCAGGGTAGCCATTCGCTTCCTTC